CACACACACTCTCACACACACACACACTCACTCACTCTCACACACACACACACACACACACAGACACTCACACACACAGACACTCACACACTCACACACAGACACACACACACACACTCTCCTCCTCTCGTCTAAAAACACTAATTTACTCTCATCTGCATTCCTGATAAGCCGTTGAGGGAGAATCTGACAGCGGATCAGTTCATTCTGATATCACATAAGATATGTTGTTTGAGGAACATCAGATACGGTTATGAAAGCTGGAACAAACCTTTTCCACAACGGTGCGGTGCAGCTGGGCGGCAGTCAGATCTGCTCTATGAAATGTTTTCAAGATGGAGACTTTAAAAACACTCAAACAGCCTCAAAACTTCAAGAGTTTTCCAGAGCGGCAGCAGATCTGAGCACAATACGACTTCAGACGAAAGCTCGAAGTAAAACTCCCGAATAAGTGTTTTTATTTAATGAGATGGATTCTTTTTAAAATACAGAGCTGATAAAATATCAAACATTATCTGAACGCAGCGTCTAAAATGTGAGTATTTGCTGTTTTTATCAACAGGAATAACTTTTTGGTTTTGGATCGTCGACAAAAATAAAAAATGAATAAATCAGCAGGAATAATTTCAACCCTAATTTTATAGACCAAATAAACCAAACAGTAAATAAATTATCTGTACTATACCAACAGTTTTGCTGCAACTCTCAACAGCTGAACTGATTTAAATCATCTGTGTAATAAACAAGTTTTAACTACACGATGCAGAACCATAAAGAAATGTAAAACTCGCGACTTCAGTTTCATTAAAGTCCCTGAAACGAAGACGTTCCCCTTCAGTGACGAGTTCAGCTCGAGTGTATTCCCTCATTGTGAACATTTAAGTTATTACAAGATACATTATCATATAATACGAGGAACTCAATTAACGCGGCTTTTAATCCATCACGTCTTTTTAAGCTGTCACACTTCATTGTTGTAATTAGGTAGTCCATTATGATGAATCTGCCTAAATGGCACCGGGCTGTTGCTGAAGCCCGTCGCCGCTGTTGTCCGTCGGTGTCAGGACTTTCACTCATCCATCCTTTAATCCACAATTTAAGCCGTTAATTTAACCGAGAACATTACCGCGCTGTGGTTACGCCACCGTCTGAATGTCATTTAAAGGAGTGTATTTACCGAGCTTTTAGCCTTTCCACTGTTTCCCTTTCCCCTCCTTTTATCACTAAATATACATTTCATAATTCATGAGATAGAAGCTATTTCAAAAAGTAATGAAAATGTTAAACGACAGCCAACAAAAAACTGTTTTCTCTCAGACTGCTGAAATATTCTTTCCATTTACAGCTACGTTTGTTCTGTGTGGTAAACTAAAACATCTGTACATGCCACACGCTTCCTTCCAGCTCGATGTTACACAACAGACTTTTAAATGACGGCTGGTTGCCTGTGCGGAGGCTTACACAGAGAGGAGAGAACAGTTTGCCCACCCAGAATCAGCCTGAGAAGCTGTTGTTTAATACGTAAGAAGAAGAAAACAGAAACAGCATTTTGTTTTAAGACGGTGAATAAACACCAAACAGTTTTCTTCCAGTTAGCAGTAAACATCCAGACGGCGTTCGTACTGGGACGCTCTGTGGCCAGGGAGGTCGAAGGTCAGGCTCAGCTGCTTCATCTGCCTCTGGACACCACAGGAGGGAGGCTGCCTGCACTTCAAAATACATATTTGTCCTCTAACCTGTGCGACTGTTTCTCCATCTGGATGGTTTTGGAGTTTTGAAGTCGTCTGCCTCTCGAAAATAATGGAACTAGATCACAATCACTAAAACAAACACATCTGAAAAACGACGTCTCTTTCCAGGAATCACAACCTGGTTACTGTAAATAATCCAGACTTTGTTGTGAGCAGTTTCATGTAGGAACTATTCTCTTTCTACCGAACTAACCCCCGCCAACCGTATCTGTGTGGTGATACGTGGAAAAGAAAGTAGTTCCTACGTGAAAGCGCTCTGTGGATTATCTCGAGTAACCAGGTGATTTCTGGGAGAGACACTGCCGTTGAGGTTTTTTTGTTTTTACTACTTTGAGCACCACAAACCGAACGCAGACGACGTCTCTACAGCCGATGTCTCCAGAACAATCTCGATGGAAGGAGGAACGATATCCCTGATCCTCTTTTTGATCGTGGGGAGAAATCAGGATACGAGAACAGAGTAGTTCAGGTTCCCATCAGTTCGGGTCAATAGGGGTGTCACGATTCTCCAAATCCTCGATTCGATTCGATTTTCGATCTTTTTTTAATATTACTATTAATGCATTCCTTATATGTTATTTACTTTTTTTGGCCTTTTCCCCTATTCTGTTCTCGGCGGGCTTTTATTTTGAAACCGCGTTTCTTACTTCCTTTGAAAGCCAGTTAAACAGAGACGTGAACACAGTGAAACACCGCGCCAGAATGACGATTTGACTTGTTTCAGGCAACTATGTAATCCTTTCATCAAGCCCTGTGCATTTATAGGCTCTAAAGTCATTCCTGGACGTGTCAAACTCAGCATGCATCTTTTCAGTCTGAGCTCCAGGATTCAGTTAGTGCTCTCAACTGACGTGAATCGAACAACAGAATCACTCTCCACCACTCGGGTGGCATTTCAGAGTAGAGAGGGCCTTCGGATTCCGGGTCCGGCGCACTCTCGATGTGTCATCACGTTCTCTTAACCTGGCTGCACGCCTAAAATTAGAGGAAGTGTTGACGCCGCAGTCTCAGCCACGTGTGTCTCTATCCCAAGACGTGACGACAACTAATACTCAAATATCACTATGTACTCCACTTGTTCGACGAAAAGAAACCGGGCAACTAAAAGCTGGTTTGCAAAGTAAAAACTCTGCTGAAATATCTCTTTATTTTGACGAGACGAACATGTTCACCAACCACGTATATTTCGTCTCGCTACTTATTCATTCAATTATTGGCAATCATCGTTCCGCTGCTTGTCCTACTCGAGGCCTGGCATTCGATTTAGCCAGAGATCGCACGCTGCGAGCGGGCTGTTCAGACCACGTTAGACGAGACAGAACCAAAAGTTCACAGATGGTTGGCACACCGAGGAAGAGGGAACCCGATGCCCTTTTTCTCTCCTTTAAAGTTAAACTTGAATGCAACTAGTCAACGCCCCTTCTTTTCTGGCATTCGTCATGTTGAAGCTGATTTATTTACCTTTATTTTATTGTACAACTTATATGGGTGTCTGTACTGTCTTACATGTTGTAGGAAAAATAAATATGCCCTTCGCTGCAATTCCAACCATCAGAAGGCGTGCTTCCCGTGTCTGGAATTGAACGTCATCTCCTGTGGAGTCTCATACAGGAAACAATAATATCAATAATAATCAATACCAAGACCCACGAGTTGAACCCTTCGTTCTGACCTTGTCGAACACATGACTTAACAGAACATTTTGCGTTTGCTCCTAACTGATATTCCCCAGTGTACCTGTAATAACTAACTGCGCTTACGCAACAGAACTCGCCTTTACTAAAACTAGATTAAAACTACGTGATGGGATGATCGACTCGAGGCTAAAGCTGCTCCAGACTTTTGTCGACCGACCAACTTGACTAACTACTCAAAAAGAGCTAAACTATTAACGTGACTAAACACTAAGGGCTGCTCAATGTGATCACCATCTACGATTCCTTCGGGGCCCCAACGACGATCTCAAAACTAACTAAAATCGAGGCAGGAAACGATTATCTTTTTCATTTTCTGTTGTCGCTTGTTCGTTTACAGTCCGTGCTATTGGTCCGTCCTGCCCGCCGCGCGCAGCACGCACTGGCGCCGCCCGGAGGCGGCGCGGGCCGCCTTTTCTTCGCGCCCGACCCGCCGCACCCGAGTCATGCGCTCGGTAATACTCCCGTTCCCGGGCACCTGTCGCGCGACACCACGTGAAGTCACGGGAAGCGCCGTAACTGTTTCATACTGTCGCTGGTGGTCCGACACCGCCTCGCGTGCAAGTCTTTTCCTGTTACCGTCTGCTTTTTCGTTGAACAGCGTAACGACCGGAAGACTCTACAAATGATTTTACGGGGAAAGGCAAAGTGTCACTGAGGACTTCTTCCAAAGTGTTTTTAACAAAAAAATTGTCCAATAAATGCAGCAAGTTTCTGAAGTTAAAAAATAAATTCGTTGAGATAATCGCGATTATGTTTTCTTTCCATAATTCGAGCAGCCCCCTAAAACTAAAACGATAAAAACTAAAATGACAGTTTGACACAAAGAACACAGGCCGCAACAAAACAGCCCGATACCCTGTGAAGCGGACAGCCTGACAGACTGAAACCACCTGCAGTTTGGCGGAGGGTCCAGTGTGATAC